ATTAATTCTCGGTAAACTCGTCTACCCATCGCTGACCGATTTATATGATCTGGTATTCCTGAACTTTTAACATTTAAGCGCGGAAAAGCTACATCCGGGACTTCGACTCCCAGGAACTCACACAACGGTTTCCATCCTTGTTTGACGTTGTAGACGAGAAGCTCGTCCCGCGGGATGGTGGCCTTGACCTGCGCGTTGTGCTCGGCGTAGASTGAAGGCAGCTCTTTTTCGTCGTAAAATGTCATTTCACAAAGCTTCATATACTTTCGTCCTGTTGGTGTTAGGAGGAAGCCTAGACGGGCCCACAATTGCTTCATAGTGGCATCCCACACGTCTTGAGTGTGTAGTTTGCTCTTTACCCATGGCTCCACTGTATCGCGCTCCATTAAGATGACCTTGGCGTCTGGAAAGCTGTTTTTGATCTCTTCCCAGAAGTAACAGGCAGGGTTATCTGTGACTGCATCAATGTCGCTGTACATAGTGGTAAAGTTAGGTGTCTTACCTGAAAAGGCCGCAATATATTCATTCATGTAGTGTTCTTGATGATCTACATTATCGTGGACTGTGAAACCAAGAATTTTCAACGCTGTTGCCAGTGATGTTGTTCCCGTTTTTGGAAGGCCTGCGCAAATAATCTTCATGCTAATTGATACTATCGATAAATGGAGTTAGTTCATACAAGATGTCTGGTTGATCCAAGTAAGCACTCGAAACACGTCAAAATGTTTTATTTTTTGTTCTGTTTTGGTGTTTCTTCTGTATACGCTTACTCGTCGTGTTCGTTCCTCGCTTTTTCGAGCGTGGTTCGGCGATCCAAGTGGTTATACTGAAACATGCAGTGAGTCAGGACAACCTGGTGACTGGAATGAATTTCAAGGAGTTTACGCCATGAAATATCACATTCAGTCTTTCTTCGACTTATTGAATCCGATTCCAACGATAGTAACAATCAAATGGTGACCAGAAAATCGCGAGGATCGCAGGATTAATGAAAAATATTCAGCGATCGAAGTGATCTTAACGACTATACGATAGCTCTGATTCACAATCCTTCAGGAGGTCGCCCTCCGATCTCTAAACGAAATATCACATTACGAACTCGGCTGTAAACAATCGTATCATAGGACAGGAGAGTCACTGTAGCTTTTTACTCGTGACCCGGGCGGCCCTAGGCCGGGTCACGAGTCAGAAAATGCAGCGCGTATAGCTTTGTTGTTGTTTTTTTTTTCTATGTGAGACCTTTGTCTTCGGGTTGACCTTTGCATCCAGATCGCATATCACATTACGAACTCGGCTGTAAAACAAGCGTATCATAGAACAGCAAAACTGCTCGGGAATTACTGTAGCTTTTATACTAACGAGATATCAATCGATACTTCGTYGATAAATGAAGCCCRTGGATGTCTCATACAGCACGCAGTTTGAATTGAAATATTCTTCAAAACTCAGAATTATCGACTCTTCAAGCCAGACTCTGCCGCTTATTACTCATCTGATAGCGGAAAGTTTTCTGATCTCAAGTTATACGATCGACAGCTCTTCTAGATACGAACCAGAACTCTAAACAATCGTATCATAGAACAGCAATAACTGCCTGGGATTTACTGTAGTTTTTTAGTAATTTTTTGATATTCGAGGCCTTTTGTTATTCCAAAACATTCATCTGTGTAAGAGCATGTATTAGGGCAGTGGTTTAGGTCTTAATGGTTGGTGTATCGAGCCAAATAGTTCATTTTCACAGAGGAGAGTTCCTAGATGACATGAGATGAAGATTTTGTAGAGCGGGGCCACGGCGTCAAAATGTCCGAATCTGGGGATACTAAGTATACTTGACCTTTAAATTACTACAATTAGAATACTAGTAAGTCTATCCATATTTTTACTTTGTTTCACACGAAAGACTATCAGGTCTATCAGAGTGAACGATATGAGTCACGTCTGCGTTGCCGTGCGATGTATACCGTGTCTACGCTTTTAAAGATTTGTCAAAAATTATTGTATATCTAGTTCCTTCAAAAGCTGCTAAATGTTGCATGAAAAGTAATCAACAAGGAGTTACTTTCACAAAATTTTACTCTTAATATATTTGATATCAGTTCCTATAGTTGAACTGCGTGCCTTTGGTAGATTCTTTACATCTAAACCAGACTCTCTTAGAGCGTCAACTCGGGCGAGCTATTATTGAAAATTGAGAAAGAGAGTATATTACAAGAGAAAAGTTTTAAATGAGCTCAATTTGAAAAAGTACTGAATAAGCCTGCACTTTTCAACACCTTTAGGGCACAAGTACACCCTGCTGTCAGGGTCTAGTTGTATAATTTTCATTGTCACGCCGTCAATTGTAAAATCGCGTGACTGTCTCGGATTCATTCAGGGGCTCGGAAATCGTTCGGAAGTCATTCGTTTGTCGTTGTTGATGTGATTGTTTATATTTCAATACTTTGTTCTATAAAGTAAATTGTTGGTTTTAGGAAGTGAATCATTGTATATATAATAAAATAATGTAAATTGAAGAAATTGAAGAAAAAGCCACACAACTTGTAACAGGGTTTCCACTCTTTATTGTACGTTTCGGGCATTCGCCCTTCAGCTAGTCTCCTCGCAGCCGTTCTTAGTGGCAATACTAAAATAATGTAGATATCATGTAAAATCTGTGTTGTTTACAATAAAATAAGCAACAACAGCAGCACAAGCGACGAGTATTGTTGAAATGAACACCAATTCATAAAATACTTTTTTCGCGATCGCTGACTGTGTTACCATATCTGGTATTGCTGAGCTTTTAGCATTTATCCGTGGGAAAGGTACATCCGGGACTTCGCCTCCCAGGAACTCACACAACGGTTTCCATCCTTGTTTGACGTTATAGACGAGAAGCTCGTCCCGCGGGATGGTGGCCTTCACCCGCGCGTTGTGCTCTGTGTAGGCTGAAGGCATTTTCTCTTGTTCATCAATATATACCTTCTCGAGATAGAAGTCACCTTCTTTTTTTCCATTTTCGTCCAGTTGGTGTAATAACAAGCCCTAAACTAGTCAAAACAGATTTACTTTCCTCCCACACTTCATGTGTATGCAGAACGCTCTTCACCCACGATTCAACGTTGTCTCTTTCTGTCAGTATTACCTTCGAGTGTGGAAAACATTCTTTGATTTCTTTCCAAAAGAAGCATGCAGGGGTGTCGGTAGTTGCATCAACGTTGTTGTACATCGAGCTAAAGTCAGGTATTATACCTCGACATGCTTGACTGATATACTCGTTTAGATGATATTCCATGTGCTCTTCATAGTCGTGAACTGTGAAGCCAAGGATTTTCAATGCCGCTGCTAGAGATTTTGTACCAGTTTTTGGCAGACCCGCACAAATTATTTTCATGATGAGATCAACTAGACAACAGTAAAATGTGGCTCAACAACCCAAGTGATCCTGGACAACCTGATGATCGGAATGGATTTCAAGGCGGTTTACGCCATCAAATATCACATTCAGTCTTTCTTCGACTTATTGAATCCGATTCCAACGATCATAACAATCAAATGGTGACCAGAAAATCGCGAGGATCGCAGGATTAATGAAAAATATTCAGCGATCGAAGTGATCTTAACGACTATACGATAGCTCTGATTCACAATCCTTCAGGAGGTCAAGGGAGTCTTGTTGTATAATTTTCATTGTCACGCCGTCAATTGTAAAATCGCGTGACTGTCTCGGATTCATTCAGGGGCTCGGAAATCGTTCGGAAGTCATTCGTTTGTCGTTGTTGATGTGATTGTTTATATTTCAATACTTTATTCCATGAAATAAGTTGTTTGTTTGAAGGAAGTTAATTATTATATGAATAGCTAAAATAAAAGCGTTGACATTACATCTCATCCATTGCTAATTTTCTTACGTAGATATCATCTTTGTGTTTTCTTTATTGTACGTTTCGNGAATCATTGTATATATAATAAAATAATGTAAATTGAAGAAATTGAAGAAAAAGCCACACAACTTGTAACAGGGTTTCCACTCTTTATTGTACGTTTCGGGCATTCGCCCTTCAGCTAGTCTCCTCGCAGCCGTTCTTAGTGGCAATACTAAAATAATGTAGATATCATGTAAATTCTGTGTTGTTTACAATGAAATAAGTATCAACAGCAACAAAAGCGACGGGTATTGTTTTAAAAAATGAACACCAATTCATAAAATACTTTTTTCGCGATCGCTGACTGTGTTACCATATCTGGTATTGCTGAGCTTTTAGCATTTATCCGTGGGAAAGGTACATCCGGGACTTCGCCTCCCAGGAACTCACACAACGGTTTCCATCCTTGTTTGACGTTATAGACGAGAAGCTCGTCCCGCGGGATGGTGGCCTTCACCCGCGCGTTGTGCTCTGTGTAGGCTGAAGGCATTTTCTCTTGTTCATCAATATATACCTTCTCGAGATAGAAGTCACCTTCTTTTTTTCCATTTTCGTCCAGTTGGTGTAATAACAAGCCCTAAACTAGTCAAAACAGATTTACTTTCCTCCCACACTTCATGTGTATGCAGAACGCTCTTCACCCACGATTCAACGTTGTCTCTTTCTGTCAGTATTACCTTCGAGTGTGGAAAACATTCTTTGATTTCTTTCCAAAAGAAGCATGCAGGGGTGTCGGTAGTTGCATCAACGTTGTTGTACATCGAGCTAAAGTCAGGTATTATACCTCGACATGCTTGATTAATATACTCGTTTAGATGATATTCCATGTGCTCTTCATAGTCGTGAACTGTGAAGCCAAGGATTTTCAATGCCGCTGCTAGAGATTTTGTACCAGTTTTWGGCAGACCCGCACAAATTATTTTCATTTTGAAATCATTTACGAGGACATCGCTTGAAGTGTTGTAATATAATCCTTTCGAAAAATTATTCAAGGCATATGTATTTTCAATGTCACGCAATCAATTATGAAATTCCGTGACAGCTTAGGATTCATTCGGGAGCTCGGAATGTTTTCGGTTATTAGTCGATAGATTCCAAAACCACAAATTTATGTATAAAAAATGTTTTTTATGTATATAAAATGTTTGATTCTGAAGAGTTTTTACAATCAGTGATGGATAACCAAGGCTGAATTGAAAATGTATATAATGAAATCTCACTGTCGTACTTTGAAGTTTTTTTGTTTTTTTTTTGGGGAGGGACATGAATGATAGCCCAATGTTCACTTAGCGAGTAACTTCTTATTCTTTCAGCTTCAAGACGCAAAGAAAGACGGTGAAAATGAAGAAAACCAACAAAATAATGAACACATACCCGAGGAAGAAAATGGGATCGAGATGAGTGAAGACTTCGATGGTGCGATGCACGATGTCGAGGGTGAAGAGCAGGATCAAGAACACACCGATGATGAACAAGAGGAAGAAGATCTTGATAAACAAATGGGAGAACTGGATGGGAAAGAGGATGAAAAACTGGATGAGAAAATATGGGGAGATTCAGATGATGAGGAAGAGAAAGAGGTGAGATGTTACGATGTGTTATGTTTGTATTTGATGGTTTGTTTGTGTTTGCTTAGTGATTTTGATTGTATTTTTAGAACAACGAAGGAGAATCAGAAAAAGGCGCTGGAGCTGACGCTGAAACTGAATCAGAAATGGTCGCAAAGGAAGACAACAAAGGTTTTTTAATAAATGGGAATTTAATCAAATAAACGTCTTTTTTATCCTATTCTTGTTATTAAACTCTTCCCAGATGCCGTTGACGAGAGTAAAGAGAAAGAACAAGAACCGAAAGACGACAAAGAAGAAACTATCAATGATTTACCCAAGGAAGACTCAGGGAATCTATCTGACGGAGAGTTAGACCCACAGGGAGAGGAAAAGGACAAGAACGTACCTGAAAACGAAGCTGGTGACCTTAACCTTCCTGATGACCTTGAGCTGGACGATGGCAATGAAAACCAAGGCGATGAAGAGTTGGGTGATGAAACGGAAGGGAAAGAGGATGGGACGGAAGAGGAAGAAGGTGGGCTATACGTCAAGCATATGTCCACTGTTAAGAGTAGATAATTTCTATCCAGTATCAAAAAATATATAGCTTGTAAAGTGTGCAATTTCGTTGTTTGTTTCGAGCAGAAGAGAAAGAAACTGAACCAGAAGCAAACAGCGAGCAAAGCATGGACATCGATCAAGAGGAAACTGCCAAAGAAGACGAAGATGTTCAAGAAAACGAAGAGACGAAAGGTGAGGTTGAACACGAAGAGAACGAGGACCACCAAGAAGGAGAACAAGCTAAAGACGGTGACGACCAGGACTGGAGAACACAGCAACAAACCGAGGTGAGTATATGACTATTATGATGATCATTGCAATCATCAGTATACACCATCATCATTCATTAATGTCATCATCATCATCATGGATTATAATCAGTACAATCATCAGCATCAACATATCTTTTTCTATGATTGACAGGCCGAAGACGTTGTCCAGGCAACAGACGACAACATGGCTAACGATGGCGGATCAAATCAAAACGAAGTCATGGAGCAAACCGCTGGTCAAAGTGAGCCCAATGACAATCAAGATCAGCAAGGTGTTGGGAGCGCAAAGGCACTTGGGAATGAGGGGCACTCGGKGGAAGCAGAAGTGGCATCAGCTCAGACTTCTACAGATGCAAAGCAAAAGGTTAAAAAGAGCTTTTGTTTTTATTTTTGTTCTTTGTTGTTGTTTTATTTCAAAGCATTTTTTGTTCATTTTAGCAACGAAAACAAATGAATCGATCGCGTTCAGACCGCAGCCTCGGCTCCATGGATGAACGGACTCATAAACGCCTGAAGACAGTCGACGAAACGGACTCAATACCACCCCCAGAGGTACATATATCTTAGTTAGCATGCGTGCACTCTTGGCGAAACGTTGTATATACATTCTGCCTTTTTTCAATTTCAATCTTTTTAATGGTCTACTAATGAGTCCTTTGTCAATAATATGCACAAAATCTTTCTTTCTTGATTGCTTTTATCGAAATGCTTATACTTGTTCATTCTTCGGAAGAGTGACGTCAAGAAGACGGCAGAACTCTATCAACACTTAAAAGGAAATGACAGCTCCAACCATGACGCGCAGACTCTAGACAGTGCAACTGCTGACCAGTCAAGAGAACAAGACGGCTCACGAGTTCCTGAGCATATGAGCGACTATGAAGACGAGGATGAAAACATGGAATGTGATGATAGAGTAGTGAGAGAAAAAGAAGATAATTTGGTATTCATTAGATAATTTAGAACTGACAATTATGTTGGTTTTGTTGGTTTTAGTGCTTTTGTTGTTGTTGTTGTTCATTTGTTTGGTTTCACATGAGTTATCGTTTGATTTTCGAATAAATTATTTCGATTATTTTGTAATTGTATAGAAACAACTTCAGCAGCAAAAAACTAACCCACAAGGAGCAGACTCGGACATGAAGTCACGTGAAGAAATTCCTGACCGTGAGGATATGGAAACTAGTTTTGAGTCACGTGATAAAGAGATAGATCCTGATAGGTCAGAAAGCTCGTACCACGTGTCAAGTGAAGCTTTCTTGCAGGAAAAACAGGTAAAACATTTTAATGGGATATTGGTATCGGAGGAAAAACTGTTTTTTTGTAATTTTAAAATCTAAACCATTATTCCAGGAACTATCAATTGATCAGGACAAATTGAGGTCTGATTTGGAACACCAATTAGCTGTCTGGTCAAACCTCGATCATGGTACACTAGACCAACAACGACATGCACAAAGTACCTGGCATAAGTACGAACTCTTGACGTCTGGCCTGGCACAGGAACTATGTGAACAACTACGTCTCGTTTTGGAGCCTTCACTTGCTACAAAGCTTAGGTTAGTTTAACAACACAGTCACTACGATGTCCGTAATTTTAGGGGTGTTCGTAATATAGAGGTGCTCGTATTACAAGGGTGGTTGTATTATTAAGGTTCCTGTGTTTCAGGGGTATTTAGAAGTCTTCTTACTGAGTGTTTCTTTTACAGAGGAGATTATCGAACAGGCAAAAGATTAAACATGAGGAAGGTCATTCCTTACATCGCCAGTCAGTTTCGTAAAGACAAAATCTGGTTAAGACGTACAAAACCAAGCAAGAGGGAATATCAGGTCATGATTGCAGTCGACGACTCGTCCAGCATGGCTGATAACCATTCTAAACAGGTACGTTGAAGTCGGGTTGCCTGTGGAAAACATGGAAGAGAGGGGACTTGGAAACACTTTTTCTTCTCTCTTCCTGAGCTAACTCAGAAAGCTCAGTTATTTGGGAATAAATGACGCCCGACTAGTTCTCAAGTGTCACGTTACTAAAACTCTTACTTTTATATGCCTTTTCGACAGTCTTAAGAAACAGTATCCATTGTTTCCTATGTATTCTGTTGTAGCTTGCTTTTGAATCTCTTGCTGTGATCAGTAAAGCTTTGACAAGACTTGAGGCGGGAGATCTTGGTGTATGCAGGTAATCTTTTCTTAGAATGTTCCTTTATGACTACTTTTATTTTATAGAAATAGATACCCAGTTGACGTCCTTTTATTGTTGTTGATGTTGTCTTCGTCGTTGCTGCTGTTTTTGCCGTTGTTGTTCAAGTTGCTGTAGTAATTGCTGTTGTTGTTCAAGTTGCTGTAGTAGTTTCTGTTGTTGTTCAGGTTGCTGTAGTAGTTGCTGTTGTTCAGGTTGCTGTAGTTGTTGTTCAGGTTGCTGTAGTAGTTTCTGTTGTTGTTCAAGTTGCTGTAGTAGTTGCTGTTGTTCAGGTTACCGTAGTAGTTGCTGTTAGTGCCGTGTTTGTTGTCGTCGTCCTTTCGTGAGTCTTGTCAGCATCAGACTGACGTTTTAATTGTGATTGACAGCTTCGGCGAAACCGTCAAGCTTCTTCATCCACTTCACGAGCCGTTCACGGACCAAAGCGGTGCAAAAATCTTACAGCAATTCACGTTTGACCAGAAAAAGACGAAGATTGCAGAGGTGAGTTTTCCGCGAATAGACTCATTAACGCAATGAATGACAAACTACCCTTATTCAATGAAGGTTTAGCGGTGCTAAATTGGTCCCATCTATACATAAAGTTTGCAATGTCATTTTAATTTCCAGCTCGTCAGTACGTGTAGTAGTCTCATGTTATCATCGAAGTCTCGTCTTCCAAGTGGACCTCGTTCCCGTGCTGTGACGTCACAACTCCTGCTCGTGGTGTCTGATGGGAGAGGCGTTTTTCTTGAAGGAACAGAGGTAATTTTTGGGAATAATGATCGGATCTTACCTGCCCAATTTCCTCCCCTCCGCTAGTTTAAAAGCTTGTTGTGTATGAAAAAATGTCCAGGTAATTTACGACCTGACAGTGAGCTATTTCCATGTGAAATAACGGGAGCTTTGTGTTTTGTATGGTCACCATACTTTGATCTCTGTTTATGACCAAAACGCTTTTCTTTCAGACTGTGAGAAAAACCGTTCGTGCAGCGAAAGAAGCTGGTATTTTCCTGGTATTTGTGATCATTGATAATCCCATTAACAGAGATTCAATCCTGGACATAAAAGTACCAATCTTCCATCCAGGAAAACCACCAGAGATCAAGTCATACATTGAACAGTTTCCTTTCCCGTTTTACGTCATTCTTAGAGACATCAATTCTCTTCCTGTAACACTGAGTGATGCTTTACGACAATGGTTTGAACTTGTGACAAGTATGGACAGCTAACAGTTTGCTTAGCAACAAGGTTGTTTGCATGATTTCAACTTCGTGTTGGTATAGCAACAAGCTTGTTTCCAAGGGTGGGTCATTATGGCAACATTTGGTCACCACAGCAACTTGAATTGAAATCAACATGGCAACTAAATAGTACCATGGCAACATAAAAAAACTAGTAGTGACCATGACAATATACCATCACCAAGCAACGTATGGTTACCAAGGAAATATACTATTACCATGACGATAAATAAATAAATTATGTAATGAAGAAGAAAGCATACATTTAGTAAGGATACGCAGTCAACTAGGAATAAATCAAATAAAGTATGGCCAAATTAATGTGTTTATTGTCCAATTTTCTTGTTTTAACTAGATAAAACTCCATTCAACCTCTTACAGTCATTTAGTGATCTAATAATTTTTTTCACTGAGGAATTTCTTTCTTTCTAATATCCAAATTGTCTTTTCACATGCCTTGGTCTGTCAGGACATCAAGTAGCCAACCTTTAATAATACACAATACATTAATGATAAGTATGAGTTACTGTTTAAATTTTCCTTGGGTTACCTGTGTTTAAGTCCCACAGGAAGCCCAACACTTACCATGAATCCCTCCATTTGTCTGAGTGTGGGCGGTATTGAGTAAGTGCTTGCTGTAAGAATAATTACTAACTGGATGCACATCTCACATGGTAATGTAATCACTTCTTTTCCTGCTGTCTTTTTCCTATAAAGACATTTATAAAATGCAATCAAATTCTCACTGCCATTTGGGTGCACAGAAAAAAAGTTTAATAAAAAATGAAACCTACAGGTCTTTATTCTTGCTTTTGATAAGTGTCTTATAGAGTACTTTCATCCCATGGAATATATTAGCTATAAGGCAAGAAAAAACATATGCATCAAAACATATATTGGGTACAGTCCCCTCTCAATCAGAACAGGAAACCCAAGAGACACTAAAATACCTTTGGTTGAGTCTGTACTGTTTTGAAGGTACTTATGTCCATGTGAAAATCCCATGTGTTTTGATTTTAATGTCGGTACATTTGTCAAAACAGCTGAATCTGGATTCAAGATCCATAGCTGCAATGAATATTCCATAAATCAGAGAAATACTTTATGAATAGAAAATGCTACAATAATTGAATACATGAATACAATAAGAGCACCCTATTACATGTAGCAATATCATATGGTAAATATTTAATACAGTATAAAGTTAATTTTACTACACACCAGTGCGTAGGCTGTAGTGTCTCCAGTCGATGATTCTCCTCTAATGAGAAATTTAAAGTTTGCTCTCCCTTGGAGTTTTGCCTGTATAATTTTTGATAAGTAAACTTCTGCTGTGTAATTTCTGAAAATAAAGATATAATATGCACATCATTAATAATATATAATGTTTGTGCTGGATTGTGAGATCCTTGATTTCAATGTTTTCTCTCCCTTGGTTGCTGAACAATATTGGCTTTTACTTCGTGTATTGGAGTACAGATTACGTAATTCAATAGAAACAAAGGGTTACAACCATGGAGCAGAATCTAAACAATACCTAGACATACAATGAAACCTAACAAGAATACAATTGATTCCAGTACACGAAGAAAGGACGACAATATTTACCTAAAAACGTCATCTTTATAAGTTGTTATTGCATGTTTGTAAATTCTTATTCCTCTAACTTGTGTCTCTCCTGTGCTGTCAGCTCTCATCACTATATCACCAACTGGTCGGCTACATCGATGACACTTTATCACCATCTCTCCCTAAAAGTTATACAATGCTCTTTAAGAACTAAGGAGAAGTTTAGACCTTAGGCGGAATTTCATACAGTCTTAATTTTACAATGAAATTCAAAGGAAACACAAAAGCTAACCTGAGTAATAGTAAGATGTGTTGCCTCTACAACATCTGCATTAACCATGATAAAATAACTACCAAGAAAGCAATCCTCAGCTGATGGGTTAAATGATGCTTCTTGCAGTGATGACAGATTACTGACATTGCCATGACAACAGAGATTTCGAGACGTCTGTTGCCAGTGTTCTGATGGTAATTCCAAGACTCTTTCAAACTTTCTGTAGAAATAAGTGATCAACTTCAACAATATGACAATGAAAATTGAATGATCAAAATTGAGTATTCTGCTTCTCACCTTTCTTCAATTATTTTATTGCCACACATCTTGCACAACATTTTCACAGGGTTTTGTTGTAGTTTTTTTCTCTCTTGTGAAAGAACTGAACTTCCACTTGCATCATATGAAGATAGATTTAGTGAGTTGTTTATGTGTAGTCTCATTTGTAGTTCTCTCTCTTGTAAGATTGAAAGACCTTGACATGACATGGGATCAACAGTGATTTCTGAAATGTTGAAACAATAATAATTTGCTTTAAGAAATTAAGTGCACATATTTATTAAATCACTTTAGTACTACATGCATGTATGATCTCCCCTTTCGATCGAAAATCGGATTGAAAGGAGAGACCGAGATCGAGACGAAAGGAGGCAAGGACTGTACAAGCACGTCCAGGCTCTCAAAACCACATGGAAAACAGCTGACAATCCAGAACAAATGTAAAAGTTTAACACTTCAGTAAACCCAAAAACACGCACAGTAATTAGAATTTATATTTATAGTGCAACAAATATTTCCCAAGATTGGTATTCCACCTTGAAATGAAACGCATGTGTCCTTCTTTGCTTGGCTTTCTTTCACGTGTTTTTGAGCTGGGACTTCTCCGCGTTTGACTAGAACATTACTCCGATGTACCGTAATTTCTGTATTCGCTGGCTTTCGAGAAATTGCCCCTGCTTCACCATTGTCCTTTTGTTCCTTCAGACTGATGATCAGTTGCAAAACTTCGATGTTTTTTCGTATATCAGCCCAGACAAGGGCTTCACCCGCCATGTTGGCATGGGTCGAGCGTTCTTGGGTACAACATCTATGGGCTTCCTGTGTGTCACGCTCAATCGATCACATGCAACAACAACGAACAGCTAAGATTTGCAAGAAAAACATAGCTGTGTTTCGTACAATGTCTGAAATAATTGGTAAATTGGGTTTTTGAGTTTGAAGAATTGCATCTTATTGAAGTTTTTTGGAAAATATTTTCGCATTTTGATGTATGGTTGTCAAGTTGTTTGAACAAGATGCCGAGATGACACGGTGTAAACGCGTTTCTTCGTAGTGAAGACATGTGTAGCTCAAATGGACGACAGTAGTAAACAAAGCAAACATGCAGACATCGCCAAGGCTTCCTATCCGCCATGAATTCCATCCAGAATGTTGTAAGTCTGAATCCTAAACTTAATCTTTGACTAACATTGGCTTGCTTTGGGACGTCCCGCCAGACACTCTCTCTGTTGTTTATTTGCGCATCTTTGTATCTCACAGATGGCAGTCGTGTGTGTAACAGAGACGATCATGCTTTATGTACGAAAAGTTTGGAAACACAACGTCTATTTGTTAGTAAGTATTTGAAATTTGTAATCTGATCCTTCGTTTAGGTATTAGAAATTCGATTTTGGCGCCTTTCTCAAGGACTGGTTAACGTAGTGATTCATGCTTCTACCTGATCTATCCCCAAAATATTAATAATTAAAAGCACTTTATTTCCGTAATTTCTTTTGTTAAGCGTAATACAATGGATTGAATGTATCTCTCTTTAATAATTTGCTGACTTTTCAAGGCAAAAACTCCCGCCAGTTGCGCGCCGTTTGAGTTCTTTGATATTTGAACATTTTTGTTTATATAGATAACCTATACTATAGGTAAACCTATCTAAGAAAGGTCAATCATAGCTAAGAAGGATTTCCTTTCTCTTAAGCCTTTTTACTAACAGAGAAATACTGGGTTACACATATCTGGCGTTACATACATTTTATAGGATGGCGTGACCGTCACGCCACAGTGATGTGTGCATACATTCATATCCGTCGAGTACACAAATACGACATCTATCCATTGTTGGATGAAGCGTAAAGCAGCAGTGTTTGGACATTTACATTCTTTACGTGTGTACGCAACCACGCGCGGACATTTCAGAACGAAAAACAGCCCGAATGATGTCTCTCTAATGCTTAGAGTAGACGCGGTTAGGACCTGAACATGACTGATAAAAGCTCCTTTTTGAGAGGTGAAACCGCGCGCGAATCTGCTGAATTTACGGACATAATTAAGAGCCGAACAGGTAAGATTTGAGAGTATATTGTGCGACCTAGAATATCTAAAAGTTAAAGTTTTAAAGTTTGGGCATCATTTATCAAGCTCAATTGGTGTGTAGCAACTATTATTGCTTCTATTAAATATCCTACACATATTAATTAAGAAAATGTTCGTTCCAAGTTACGATTTGAAGGTGTTATGTTGTCTATTTATTTATATAATTGATATATAATCAGAAAGGAATTTTGTGGCGACCTGAATTCAATGGAACTTCGAATGTTCATGTTGCGCCGTCCAGAGAACTGCATAAAGCGACTTTGTTGGTCGCAGTATGTTAAAGTTTATTTCTAAAGCTTATTGTACCACAATCAGATAACATAAAACTCTGCTTTAGAAGATGATATACTTTGTTCTTTTAAGTTTTCTGGGTGTTCTTGGATAGAGTTGTATTTCTAGTTGACTTTTGACCGACTGAAGACTGTTGTGTATTTGAATAATAATACCAGTACATATGTTTACTTTGCTAGCTAAAGATCCCAATCATATGTTGAATATATTATCCTAAACTTATATAACACAAGAACATGGATAAAAGAAATTAAGTCTATGAACAAATTGACTTATAAACCTTGGCTTTTATCATCAATATCTGTGCTCGAAGAAGCTTAAGTGAAATTCTCTTAAGGAAAAGGAAGTGTTAATTGATATTAATTTTGCCGGACAACCGTTTAGCAGAAATCCGTGAAGTACGTATCATAAAACAGCAAGAGACTTTTAAAAAATACATCAGTTTTATACATTAATTTTTATTTTCAACCTGGAAGGCTCATTTATCGTCAAAACCAGCCTCAAGAAGTGTGCCATTAAAGCAATTTCACTTTGAAAAATAATTGAGTTCGCGTTAATATAAATCAAGCATATGTATTTGCATTACCAAGTCGCTTTGTTGTTTAACTGTAGAATGATAACATTTTCGTTTTATATAATAGCCAAGATATTCTCATATCCAAAGCGTTATTTGATACAACTTTTACAAATGTAAACGACCGCTTAGGTCGAAAGAAATGCGCTTAAGTTAACAGTAGCTATATTCAATTTAAGTTTATTCAAGTTCGGCAAATTTAGAATTTCAGTTCCGCCACAACGATAATGAGTGTGGACTCTAGTTCTCCCATGTGTTAAATATATGTATTTTATTTTGACTAGTATTTAAGCAGTTAGCCAAACAGGTGAATACAATGTTATTTGTGATCGGAGCCGCTAGGTCTTCGTGAAATTGATATCCATTGGGCTGACGGGATCTCTTTATCATTAACAGACATATGCAGTGTTGTATTTGCTTATGTTTCGGGTGGCCTTGAGCTAGGTTTTGCTTCATAAAAGCGATATTACTAAGATTCTAGCCACGAGCTGAGGTTACTGTGCAATGTACAGCATTTAAGTATTTTTTCCTACCTCTTCAAACCGTTATTATGGGTCATTATCCATATCTCTCTACATTCCCTTCTTTTTCTTCCCTGTCATTCATTTACTTTCAAAGACACTTGTCATGTCATTGATCTTTTTTTCTGCCAATGCAACAAGTTTTCTCTTGCCATCATTTGATGTAATAAACACCATTTTCATTAACTATTATTTTTCTTCGTTATTTCCAAGAGATGTACAATTCTTCATCAAGCTTTTGAATGTTTTAAATACTAAATAATCGCCATATGTTTGTATATATTATCATAAAATTGCCATCTTGAACACATCTTGAATTGTGATCTTTCATATTTGATAAATGTTTGACACGTATTAATATCAATACCAATTACTGCCGATTATCAACATGTACTGGATAACAAAAAGAGGTATACATACACTATGATAATGTGCTATTATAATAACGAGTCATGAAAACATGAACCGTAGCCAACTTGACCGTAAATTCTTTTCATCTGAAAATACCTTTATCTTGTGTCATTATTTAATTCTAATTTACCTCTGAATTTGCTCTCTCTAATTGGTGTAGCGCGTGAAAAGTTACGTTCTAAACCAGTGCCTTACTGACTCGCAAATAATGTTAAAAATGTAGTCAATATCGCGTGTATTTTACACGTTGATCGCTGTTTGATTTGCATCGTTAAGACACGCGAACGTAAGGATGTTAGGCGACATACGCAAGGACGCGCAGCACACGACATATTGCGTGATTGAAATTATTGCATTTGGATTTGAAATTATTTCTTTTATTCTCTTTATTGTGAAGTAAAACCTTATTTTATTGAAAAGTACACAAGGTACTCCGAGATCTCACCCCGTACCAAAAGACCGAAAAGGATTATGGGTAGAAGTTTTGGCAACGATTGAACAATGCCAAAATAAGAAACATCACAGACAAAGTCTCGTTCATAATAACTCTTGTTGCCTTTGCGTAAAACCTGAAGACTGATACAAACTTTCTTGATTATTATTAATTTCACACACAAATTTACAAAAATCCCTTCCGCGGGAGAGTAATAAATACCTCAAAGTGATTTCAAATATTTTTTTTTCTAGACGAACGCGAAGCAATCCACAGGAAGACATTTAAGAAATGGATGAACAACAAGTTATCAAGGGTGGGTAGTTTTGAAACACAGCATTTTTCACAGCTTACGTTAATTCTTATGCGTATGTCTATGTTTTTATGCTTTGCTTTGACCAAACAAAAGATTCTTTTTTAGCTTATGTTAATCTCTCTTTAAGGCCGACAAACCCGTGCAGGTAAAAGATCTCATAGAAGACTTGCGCGATGGACATGTTCTTCTAACGCTGCTGGAGACATTGCTATCAACCAAGCTACCAAGAGAGAAAGGAAAGATGAGATTACATAAGTTAACGAATGTTAGGATCGTCTTTGAACAGCTGGAGAAAAATGGAGTAAGTTGTAATTGTTCTCAATGCTTTTATTGTTGTTGTTGTTGGTGATGATTATGTTGTAAATAAAGTCTTTTATTTTGAGAGGGTAGCACGTAATAGTCTCTAGACTAATAAACTTGTGGCCCTCTATATATTCACTCATACTCACTACCTCAGAATTCATTATTTTACTACACGACACTGCTCACAGCTATAGTTTTTGTTGTTGTCGTCAATGTTGTTTTCCCCTTGCTGTTTAAGCGGCGCGCAGTACATCAAGGGACTGGGTGAAAGCAAAATAGTGACAACTTGTCACTAACTTGGAACTATGACGTAATCAACCAATAAGAGCTCTCGTTATATCTCAAATATTTCAGGTTAAGATTGTCGGTATCAACAATGGTGACATAGTGGATGGTATTCCGCGCCCTATTCTAGGCCTGGTTTGGAGTATTATATTACGATTCCAGGTACAGTAATAATGCTTTATAATTCTCAATTTCTGGCAGTCATTTGACTTTGAACTGTTCTCTTATCATGTCCTTAGTAATATCAACATCTATATCATGTCGGTTACATCACTTTTTAGGTACACGAGTTATTTCAAGAAGAAAGTTCTGGCGCTAAAGTTAAAGATTTCCATGTTGAAAAGAGACTGCTAAGCTGGTGTCAAGATGTCCTAGATGGGTAAGATTATCATGATTTTTTTATTTCCACATATGCAGTTCCTGCGGTTTATAGACCAGACCACAAGCAAAGGCATATTGTATTTCTTTCAACAAATCTGAATGTTTTGTACCCCTGAATATTAACAGACTCTTACCCAGTCTTTTCTCGCTGTCTAATGGGCGCGTCGTAATGAAAGGGACTGGGCGAAGAGAAAAAAGTGAAGACTGGGCAAGAGTGTGGAACTAAGATAAACGCAGTTCATCAGCCAATCAGAACACTCGTTATATCTCAAACATTTTATAACATCTATGATCATTGGTCATAACCATTGCTCAATAAGTCTGTATTTTGTTCTAGGTACGAGGATGTCATAAAGTTAAAGGACTTCACTGTTGGATGGCGGAATGGCTTGGCCTTCAAYGCTATCATTCATTCGCATAAGTAAGCAAAATTCACCAACGCATGTGAATTTACTGCCTCTTGAGTATCTTGCACTTTTAGATTCTATATCAACAAGTGGGAATTGTCTGCTAACGTCTGTAAACTACTGATTTTTTTCTTTGTTATTCAACAGACCTGAGTTGTTCGAGTTTGATGATTTACTTGATAACGACAACAAGACGAACCTACAGCACGCGTTTACCGTGGCACAAGACGAGTTCGACGTTGACGCTCTCCTAGAACCGGGTGGTAAGGTTGTTATTACAAAATATAAACAAACATTGTACAAGAAATGAGATGTTTTCGCTGTTTTCCTCAGATATCGACGTCCCGCAGCCAGATAAGAAACTGATCATGATGTACTTGACAAGTATGTACGATGTTCTGAAAGACTACGAACCAACAAGAGAAAGACGAAATAAAAAACTACAGGTAGGATATCCGCTGTCTCATGATCTTGGAATCTGTTCACGATGCTTGTGAAAGTTTGAATTAAAAACTATTGTGTTTATTCACAGCTAAAGAAAGACCTTGAGGCTTACAGGGCGGCTCATTCAGAGATAACACTGTATATGACACAAGTAGAAAGTATTGTACTCACAAAACTTGACTCTGATGAACGCCAAGCAGACCCAGCAGACGAACATCAAATTGCAAAGGTAAAACTTAATAACTCGTGGATTGAGCTCGTTTGAACTGTCACTCACTCACTCCGCTCTCTTGGTTACTAGTGTATCATTGTGAACAAAGAGAGGAGCATTCACTGCCTATGTAACTATAATAACTCTACTTGCATCTCTTGATTCCTTACTATTGTTTCTCCATATTAGGACCTCACTAGAGATACCGCTAACCACGTGACCGACGTCAATGACGTCAAGCACAAGGGACAAAAACTAATCGACGATGGAAAGATCAGTCAGAATGATCAACAGGAGATCAAAACACAGATCGAAGCGCTGGAAATTCGATGGGAAAAATTATTAATACTTGTGTCACGGCTGAGTAAACGGTGAGATATGGATAGCGTGACTGAGTGTCAGTGCGTGACGTTTGTAACACAATTTTATCGTGAAAATGGATATTATTGGTAGTTATCATGCAGCAGTTTATTCCAACGTCGTCGTTTTGTCAACAAGACATTTACATTGCATGACAGCCGTAATACGTGACGTTTGTAACGCAAGTCAATTCAATCTTTTAGATGCCAGACAGCTTTGGTAGCACCGAAACAGAGAAAAGTAGAGTATTACGTGACATGGGTACGGCAAACATCTCGTGACGTTCAGCTTAAGGGTAACGCAACAACACCCGAAGAAACAAGACAAGAACTGCAAGATATTGAGGTATTATAATGATAATATGACATGATAAGAAAAACCTTTAAAGGTCCTACCAGGTCCTACCCCTAGTCGCTCCTCTGCCGACCTCACACTAACCCCCTTCCTCCTCTAACTTCCCCTTCCTGTGAGCTTACCCCCTTGTAGGTAGAGGGAGCTTAGTCAATGATAAAATCAACACGTGCGTTTCATACCGATAGGAAATTGTTGCCGATATTGACGAGAATGAGCCAGGTTTAAACCTCGCTGTCCAGGAAGCAGAAGCCATCAGTCAAGATGAATCGATTTATGAGGATGTGAAACAAGGTCTGCAGAATCAGTTGGATGTTCTTGTTAATGACTGGGAAAGGTTGAAGAAAGCCACATTAGAAAAACAAAAGAGGTATGTTGTGTACTGTGTACTGGTCTTGTGCGCGCAATGTATCAAGGGAAGGAAGGAAGTATTTCTTCCCTTGGTGCTTTGCGGCGCGGGCAAGAGACGACTAGGGACGAGTCAGCTATGTACTAACGTATCTTTTGTTAGCTTTATACCATTATTCATTTGCTCATTTGTTCATTCATTCACACAGCATCCAACCACAGCAGTGAGAGACGACAAGATTTTCACCATACAAGCATTGTTTGAAAGTCTTATCCTCTATCTAAATTCTGTAAATGCTGTATTTTATTACACCTATCATAGGTTGCAGCAGGCTGTTGGGTCTGAACCATTAGTAGACGTAAAAGATGTTGGTGTTGTAGAGTCAGCGCCTGCTCAAGCTTTCGAAATACAAGTCAGAAGAATAAATGTCAAAAGTCCACCCGCCAGGTATGAGCACCTCATTATTACGAACACCTTTATAATCCGAACGCACACTTAGTACGATGAACTCAGTGATGCGGACGCTTTCTTACTGTGACCTCTATAAGTCGGGCACCTTGTTCTTCTCAACACTATGACATCTATGCTCAAGGCACCTCCTTATTACGAACACCTTTATAATCCGAACATCATATCCGAACGTACACTTAATACGATGAACTAAGTGATGCGATACTTCGTTACTGTGACCTCTATAACTCGGCCACATTGTTACCCCACTTCCCCATTACGGTCACTCTTGTATTCTTGGGGCCTTACAAATAAATGTGTTTATTTCCAGTCCTCGACTTGTTAAACACGATCAAGTTGAGAAGCTACAAACCTGGAAACGAAAACACGATGAAGCCAGAGATGTCATCAATGAGTTCAAGATGAATGTCAAAAAGTTGAAGCTTGAAGACGAGTCCAGCAAATTCAACGAACAGTACGAGGTACGTGTAATCAAATTATCCATCTTTCTTTGTTGTTGATGTTGTTCTTTTTGCATCCCTTTCTTTCCATTCTCATTTTTTTTTTTTTGTACCCACTCCATCTTTCCCTTTTATTGCTATAATATATTTCTCTCCATTTCTCCCACCTCTCATCACTATAGTTGAACCATTAAAGAGCTACTGACAACATTGGATCTCTACTATATTTTCATTCCATTACTTAGATATGCAACCAAAAGCTCCAGAAAGCCAATCCCGTCGTTGATGATACAATAAAGTACGGACAAGATGTCATCGAGGACCAGTCAATCGACGAAGATCAAAGGGATGTCGTTTCTCAAGAACTAGAGACTCTTGTTGCTGACTTCGATGACTTTATGATGCAGCTCGATGAAGCAAAGTGAGTTGACTTGGTGTGAGCGATGTCACATGCTATGGGGTCAAGGGATTGGGGTAATGGCTTGTGGAAAGGGTGTTAAAGTGGTGTTCTATTGCTCGTTTCAGGATGGACGAATCTGCTCAACACGATCAATCAAAGGTGAAAGAAGACATTGATGTATGGAAGACGTCCAGAGACGAGCTCCGTCCAAAGATCTCTGACTGTCATGTTATGTTGAAGAAAGCCAAGCAGAAACCCATTCCATACAAAAGAGTTGAGTTGATTCTGTATGCTAAAGAAGTAGAAGTACGTTTGGACAGTCTTCTTTATTTTGTGTGTTTGTTGCTATTATTGTTGTTGCCGTTGTTGTTGTTGTTGCCGTTGATGTTCTTGTTGTTGTTGTTGCTGCTGTTGCTGTTGTTGTTGACGTTGTTGTTGTTGTTGCTGCTGCTGCTGTTGTTGTTGCTACGTTGTTGGTTGTAACATTAGTTACCTTTAATCCATCATTCTCTCTCCAACTCAGGATTGTGAACAGGAAGTGACGCAATTAGAACCGGAAGTAAGCGCGTTCCTGGATGATGGTAACAGACTATTACAAAATACACAAATGACTGACAGCGACAAAGAGTTGGTGGCAATGAATATGCATGAGATAGATAACCAATTTATAACCATCAAACAAGAAACTTATGAGCTCAAAAACAAGTAAGCTGAATATAGTTATAAATTGTTGATCGGAAAAATATTGAAACTTTGCTGATAAAGGTCCTTCCACGTTTTACTCCAACCGAAAACCAACGCACGGAACTTTAAAGGGCTACTTGGACGAAAATTTCGAATCTTAAGAAAAGACTTGGAAATCAAATAGACCTGTTCATATGGGTCTAATAATCATGAAGCAGCAGATTTCAAGAAGATATTGATACAAATCCTTGATAATTTGGGCAAAAAATTGTTGGAGTGGAGTAGATGACGTCATTTACTCAATCCTTTTGTTCTTCCATCTTTTGAATCAAAATTTATCTGATGTGGGATAATTCCAAAACAAATATTTTCCCGCAATTGTTTTTAATTGATATCAATGAGTCATATATTTGTATTGCTTGAAGTTTTGAAATAAGGACATTTTCATGCAAGTAGCACTTTAATAACCTGATTGATGTATCGTATGTTTTACTCAGAACCGTGCTAGTTTAACGCCAGCTTTCTAATATAAGTTGTATTGATAACGCTTCATTTGTAATGCTACATTGAATCTTTAAACAAAGATAAACGCCTACAATTCTCAATGCTAGGGTTGATGAAGTAATTCACGATGAAGAAGCCAAAAAAGACGAACAGCTTTACCAGTGGAAAGACTTGAGAGATGATCTCAAACCGAAAATCTCCAACCAGTTTGTTGTATTAAAGGAATTGAAAGCCAAGCAGATTCCTTTGGAACGAGTGGATGTTATCATGCGAGTAGAGGAGGTTGAGGTACCCTGAAACCTTTTGTTATGTTTCTGTTCATTTGCTTGATGTTGTCGTTGTTGCTGTTGTTGTTGTCGCTGTTGTTGATGTTGTTGTTTTTGCTGTTGCCGGTTTATTCGTTTGTTGTTGTTGTTGTTGTTCTTATTCAAAAGATTCAATTACTCGCCAACGTCAGATATGAAATAAAATCACATTCTAATGTTCATTTCCCAGGCTTGTCACCAGGATGTGACGTCACTAGACCCGGAAGTAAGCCGTTTCATAGATAAAAGCAATGAGCTAATACAAAGCGACAATCTTGATGATCAAGAAAAGAGCCTGGTGACTAAAGACATGAAAGACGTTGACGAGGAATATGAAGAACTGAGAAGTGGAAGCAAGGAATTGAGAAATGAGTAAGTGAAAAAATGGGATTTTTCCTTTTTCATGGAGGTCTCGAGTAGGTCTCAAGGAGAGAGATCTAGCATAAGAATTCTCTTTGTAAAGCGGATAGTATATAACGGAACCCAAAAACGTCCAACATCAATCAAGACTCCTTGGAGACTCCTTGAAAGCCGACTTTATATTCGGAGTCCTTAACTAAAGTCACTTAATATAATCAAACTTATAACAATATAGTGTCTGACTGAATCAAGATCATGTCTCTAGACATGAAGGAAATTGAACAGAATTCGTACCATTCCAGCACGAAGTATTGCGATAGCTCTTTTGTTTACATCGGTCGCTATAGTAACGCTCAACAAGGTTCCCTTATCATGTTGACCTTAGAAATTCCACAAAAGAACTCGTTTTTTATCAGAAATGTGATAAAGTTTGTATTGTTGCAAGTTAAAGTAAGATTCAAAGACTATATTGTTTCAATCGTGTGGCATTTGTGATGTTCACCAAATATGGGACATTCACAGTCTGTTGATATTTCTAAAACGAGGAAGCGAAGCGCGAGGAGTTCTACCACAAAGGCAGTACAAATATTGAGGTCAGGGATCTTGTATCGAGTAATGTTTCAATTAGAGTTTTTATTTAGCTTTCTTACTTGCTTCCGTTATATTGAAACAATGTTCTAGAGCCCAATTAGTGCTTTAAGACTGTACTAGCATCAATAGCGTTGCTTTGCGTTTATAATATTGATCATGTTCACAAAGACGTTTTGTAAATTGCTTTGTTTTAACGGTCACCAGACCCAAGGTTTACGTCACAAGTGCTGGTTTCGTGCAAAACATAGATTAAACGCATTATTTGATATCCAGGTTGCTGTTGTTGTGGTTGTTGATGTTGTGGTAGTGGTAGTGGGTGTTGTTGTTGTAGTTGTTGTTATTGTTGTGGTTGTTGTTGTTGTTGTTGTTGTTGTTGTTGGTGGTGGTGGTGGTGGTGGTGGTGGTGGTGGTGGTGGTGGTGGTGGTGGTGGTGGTTGTTATTGTGGTTGTTGTTGTTGTTGCTATGTTGAGTTTTGATGTCAACTTGTTCAATTTGTCCAGGGTAGAAAAATGGGCCGAAAAGCTTGACAAGAAATCCTTTGACCTGGAAAAATGGAGAGACTGGAAGCGCTCTATCAGCAGTAAACTAGACTCAATAGAAGATACAGTAAACGATATCAAATCAATAGAAACATCGAGGAACCTTGAAACCTTGGAGGACAGTCTTGCTTTATCAGAGGTAGAAATGATTTTAGAGTGTTTTCAGTAAACCCATGAAACAAGAAAAACATGCAAATTAAAAATTAGTAAAGTGAAGTATGATAAAATGTATTTCACGGGTTGAACAAGTTCCAGGAATTCTTAATGTAATGAAGAGATAAATTTGCACGTCTAACTAATACATAATATAATATATAAAGAATATCGTTTCATTTCTATAGAAATCCATTCAAGATTTGGAAAATCTGGAACCTGAAGTGGTTTCAGCATTGGAGTTTGGACAGCTGACTAAGAATGACAGCCCGTTATCAGAAGAGGAAAAACAAGAGATCACCAATGACATGGAACAAATGAACAGCAGGCTAAAAGCATTGAAAGAGGACGCAAGTAACCAGAATGAGTGGTATGTAAAAACCCCTCTAATCCGTCAAGGTGACCGTGATATTAAGGAATTGTATGTAGAAACATCCTCTAATCCGTCAAGGTGACCGTGATATAAAGGGGTGGTATGTAGAAACCCCTCTAGTCCGTCAAGGTGACCGTGATATAAAGGGGTGGTATGTAGAAACCCCTCTAGTCCGTCAAGGTGACCGTGATATAAAGGGGTGGTATGTAGAAACCCCTCTA